ACTCGTCAGTGATGCTACATCATACAGCTGTTTCGTCCTTCTAGGACTCGTCAGTGATGCTACATTATACAGCTGTTTCGTCCTTCTAGGACTTGTCAGTGATGCTAAGGGTCAAAATTTTGAAACAAGGAAAGCAAATGGTGATAAAAAAGTCAAAATCTAGATGGAACAGTCCACTAGCACCATAATTCAATAAATTTCGTATTATTTTCATAGATTTCTTGTGTGACGTGGCATGCAGGTTATGGCAAATTTCTGGGACCTAAAGTTCATCAGCAATGTCCATCATTTGCTATCTCATCATTGTACAACAGACACTCAATTTACAAACTGTATAATAAGATGCAGAAAAAGATACAGTGGTGTTAAATAATGAATGAAGCTGAGTCACACAGTTATGTTGTCCTTCTAGGACGTAGTATTTTAAGGAAACTATTTACAGATTAACAATTTAGACGTCACAAATAATGTTTTGTATGTAATGTATATAACATGTTAACGGCTGAACTATATTATCATTCATTCACAAAATGTATTCCAAATATCAATTTTCTTGAAAGTTATTGTAAAATGTTATTATAACTTTAAAAAACATTGAATACAGTGCCGAATATATGGAAACAAAATATCAATTCTGGATCAAAAATATTTGATTTTAAAATTAAGTTGATATAAAACATTGTGTATGCTTTTCATATTGATATTAAATGACAACTGTCGATGAAAGTTCTATTTCAGAATCTGCCTTACTAATGTAATAAACAGTATCATCACATAAGAGAAATTTGCGTGTTTTTCTTTCTTCTCAAGCGTGCTATGTTTTGGTTTTAATATTGGTCTTTTGATTGTCCATGCGTCATATTATATGATTTGAATGAGTGACTGTCAAGATTTGGAATGTCTTCTGTTGGCATTTTGAAATTTAATAATTTTTTGAGCTGAATGTATTGGAGTTCAGAGTGTTAATCTGAAAAGTATTGTCAGAGATATCTAGATCTTGGTCATAACTGGTGTCATCAATGTCGGAATGTGTGTCACTATGTGGTAGTCTTGATAACATGTCAGCTATAATATTTTACCTCCCTTAATGTGCTCAGTCTTTTAATTGTAGGACATAATTGTTAGAGTCCAAAGTTAAACTTTCCTATTTTTAATATTTTAGTTCAGTAAAGCTTTTAAATGTTTAAGGTCAGTTTTCTTGGTCACATTTTTGTGTTAGAACGGCGCCAATACAATGATCAGATGCTTCCGTATACAAAAGTATAGGGATTTAAAAACTCAAAAGAGGAACAGCAGATAAACTTTCCTTTAGAAATGAAAAGGCTTGTTGACATTCAGAAGTTCAATTGAATTTTGCATATTTTTTGGTTAGATTGGTCATAGGAGCAGCAATGGCTGAACAATTTGAAATGTAACGACGATAATAACTACAGAGTGAGATAAAATATTTACACTGTTTGATGTCTGACGTCTACCTTGTTAATGTCAGGCTTCACTCCTTGCCGATTGAGTGTAAATCCTAAATGCTTTGTTTCTTGTTGGGAGAAAGAATATATTTTTGGTTTCAGCTTTAGGCTATGTTTCCGAAGCCGAGAGAAAACTTCTTTGACATGTGAGAGATGATCGTCCTCTGATTTGGAGAAAATTTAGATATCATCCAGGTAAGCTATAGCGAAACCCTGGAGACCATTTAACAGCTTAGAAAAAGCAGAAGAGAATACCTGAGGGACATTCATTAAACCGAGAGGACAAACATTGAATTCAAAAAGGCCTCTATGGCAAGTAAATGCAGTTTTCTCTTTATCATCTTTGTTAAGTGTGACAATTGCCAATAACCACTCATGAGGTCAAGAGATGTAAGATACATTGATTTTCCTGGTCTAGCCAGAAGGTCATCAATAACAGGAAGTGGAAATTAACTTGGTTTTGTAATTGCATTTTATTTCCTATAATGAATGCAAAATCTTGAGCTACCATCATTCTATCTAACTAGCACACATGGAAAACTCCATGGGGAAATAGAAGGTGAAATAATTTTGGCTTGTAACATATCGTCTTTGGTATCTATATACTTTCTCCTGTTGTTGCAATGGAGTACGATATGGTGTAAGTTTAATAGGTGGATGGTTGCCTGTGTCTATAGTCATTTGTACTAAGTCAGTACGTGTGTGATCTGTATCTATCTCTGCAAAAATGTCAATATTGTCTTTAACAAGTATCTGGAGTATTAAGATTCTGTAGTGATGTGTGAGATTAGTGAATGTTTTCTTTTGATGTCTCTTTGTTTGATATAATGGATGTTATGGCGTCAATATGTGTTTCTGTTAGTCTAGGGATTGAACAACCTTTTTAATGATATAACGGTTCGCTGAGATGAATTGACAATTGTCATAGGTAATTTAGTCTGGTAATGGGAAATTGTACATATAGACTCTAGCATTTGGATGTCTGGCTCACTTGTTAAAGAGCTACAATGATTATGTTCTAAATGAAAAAACCTTATCACCTTTAATTGATCTGTAATGAGGAATTTTACCTGTACAGACAGTACTAGATTGTGGTGGTAAAACTACTTTCTCAGACAAACGTACAATACAAGACACAAAAATCATTAATAATTGGAACCAGAGTGCTTCGTACTTTTAAAGCATTTTGATCAAAATTGAAGGCTTACCTTTTTTTTAACAAACCAGTCTCTTCCTAAGATGAAGTTTCTGGACATATCTTTTGATACACAAAATGAGTGATATCATGCCTCTTATAGTGCATTTCAAAGTAATTTCCCCAGAAACATTAAGTTTATTTCCACTGACAGATTTAAAATACACATAAATTCTATCAAGAGAACTCGTAAGATTTAATTGTTCTGTGACTTTGTAATGAACGGGACTCAAGTCAGCACCAATATCTAATTGCTTTAGTTGACATGAATTTTTAAAACTACCGAGAGAAATAATTGTATAAGAGAGTCTGCCTTACTGAGATCCGATATCTGCCTCACGAAACCGGACTTTGTTTAGTTTCCCTGATTTTGTGATTTATGTTGGGAACGTGAATGTCTATTGCATTTATTGTTTTGGTATTTGATCGGCTGTGGAATATTGTTGTTGAGAATAAGACTGATATGGTTGTGGTTTGGTGTGTTGTGATGGTTGTTTGTAACCCTGGGGCGATAGTGTTGTGTGGACTCGCGTGAATTTGTTGCATAAGAAATCTGGTGACCAGAAAGATGATGAGGGTGTTTGTATGTAGAGTGTTGGTGATGAAATTGACGGCGAATGTCAATTTCTCTCATGGCACAATCTACAGCATTATCGAAAACATTAAATTGCCCTCTCATAACTCGTAACCTAATGTCGGAAATCTCTAACCCATCCTCAAAAAACCCAATGAGCAGTTGGAAAATAACAGGATAATGTAAGTCCTGGTTTTCATAAGATACGACTCGCCAGTGATGCTGCATCACACAACTGTTGCGTCCATCTAAGACTCGTCAGTGATGCTACATAATGCAGCTGTTTTGTTCTTCAGGGACTCGTGAGTGATACTACATTTAGCAACCCTTTGAATATGTACGTAGAATGGTATATCTGTAATTTTTACACTAACTATACATGCGTTCATTTAATTCTGTATGATATTTCATCATGATCGTCAAACAGATGAATAACACATTAAGAATGATGTTAGTTATTAAACGGCCTGATGGTAAATTTATCAAGTGATAGTTTACTAATAACACGGAGCTACACTCACCTAGCATTTATTATTTTATTTATCTTTCTTGGTCGCCACTGACAGTTACTTGAAGCATGAGTAAAATTGTAATTGCTTTCTTATGACGTATGTATGTATCGAACTTCACATCAAACTTATCGAATTACTACTTATTTGTAGTTTATCAATAATTAATGGCAAAGAAAAAACATATTGGCAATAATAACATGGCCATGAAATTGTAAACACATTTGAATGTGTATTCACATATCGTCTTTAGCAATGACAGGTTAACTCGATTTATGGTATGTATGCACGATTGCTCAACCCGAGATAGTCAGAATCAATACAATCGTCTAATAAAGTCTACAGGATTAAAGCGGTGTGTAGGCGGAACTTTCATCCTTGGAAAAACTGCGTACATGTGTATTAACCTGACGATAATCTCTGGTGCGTCGCACTGAAATCGACGGATGATTGACAAACACAGGTGTACCGGTATCCGCCGCAGTGTGCTGTTGCGTCGGTTGGATGATGTTAAATAAATACTTACATCGTAGTCCTGGTTGGATGATGTAAAATAAATACGTACATCGTAGTCCTGGTGGAATATTCCGGCATGTAATTCACGATGACAATTGCTTGTAATGTACGTGGAAAATTAATCAAATTCTATGGTAGTTGATATCAAGAATGTAGTATTAAGAGGACACTTAGTACACATGTATATATACTTTGTGACTGTTGTCCTTTACACTTAATGTTTGCATCAACAGTCCGTGAACCAGTACTGTGTACCGACTTGTGGTGAAAATAACTAAGGGAAATATTTTAATGGTGTTTGTTCGGTGGTAATATTAAACAATAAAGAATATTACCATGACAATGGTTTCTTATTGCAACTGTGGATACACAAAAGGAATCAACTGAATGTATTGTTGTAATGTGTTCTTGTTAGAAATAATCACTGACGTTAATATACAGAACAATATACAAATTTACGTGATCATTTGATGACAGATCAACGGAACAGCGTTAGGAATTACATTGTGTGAGCGCCGTTTCAGATACCGGGAAAGGTATAAGGATCACTCACTGGAACAGTATTTTCTTATAGCTAACCTTCCCAATAACCTCCGTCTAAGTTCCTGAGAATGCATGGTTGTGTTCTTAACAATTTTTCCGGTAGACTGTCCAACGAGTGATGGCGACTGTTTTTGTGAATTACGCATGCCTTTACAACTAACATCTTTTCATCATGATTGTTTAAAAAAGTACAACAGATGGATGTCTGTAAACTGTCCGGATTATGGCTATTGTGTGTCTTGATGACGACGGATGTTTTAGGTAATATATGTGTTACGACTTATTTCCTAGTATACCATAAGTATTATTATTACATTTTCAGTTTTGTATAAGATGCGAATTGTTCTACATCCAATCACGTATTATTCCACTTAACATCATATTGCACGCGGTGACAGTGATATACAATTGTGGGATCGCACAACGTTACACAATGTGCGCACGATAGGAAAACTGGAAGAAATAAGCTATTGCACATTTGTGCGCACGTTGTTCGGATCTACCGCACAAATGTGCGATTCTATCGTGGTTGATATAAATTTTGAAATTATTTAAAAATCAGTGTGTGATAGGATTTATTTATTTTCTTAATGTATAAGAAAACAACAAAGTATATTCCTAATTCAGCCGATAATTTATAGGTTGAACACTTTTAGATATATCAGATACACACTGAATAGTTAGATACACTCGTAATTTTAAGTGTTTTGTTTACAAAGAGCCCACACATTTGGTAAACAAAAAAATATATGCTCAGGTAAATCTTAAGAGTAGTGTTTGTTACATGGAATAAGATGCAATTTATATAACATTTGACCAAACCTTGAGTTTTCTGTACACCGGGTTTTGATACCAAAATGTATTTAAAACATTTATGAAAGTCTTTTTCAATCGGTATGAGGATTTATGGAGCTTAGATAACCAATATCAACCTCGGCCTGCGGTGTGGTCTAGAAACGTTATCTTCGCTCCGTAAATCCTCATAACGATCTAAACAAGGAGTTATTACTGTATAGGATTCATTCACTGCAGTTTGACTTTCACCCATTATAAATGTGTTGCCAATAGGGTGAAAAGTAAGGAGTCTGAAGTTCAAGCTAATTTTTATTTCTTATGAAACTTTAATGTGGGTATTTAGAAAACATTTGCCGTCGGCCATCTTCTTTCAGCTGGTCGACATAATACCATATTGACTGAAATCAATGGTCCTAGATCTTTGATCCTATATATGTACCATTATCTGTATTGCCTTGAAAATATTGATGATTTAGACAAAAACACATTAATCAAAATAATATGCCTTAATTGTTATATAACAAATTCTCCCCCAAGACAGATACAACATTTCAACATATCATGGGTTCATATAATCCGATGGTTCTGTATGTAATATATTAGCCTACAAATGACAATCACATATTCATCAGAACGGGGATGAGGGGGGTAGGGGGATCTTGATATTTGTAATGTATACTATTACTATTATACATCGGTGTGGGCGTAAATGAAGTTTCGTGATATATTTCGTTGTGTATACCATTGTCTAAACAGATGACACAACATATTAGTCGGTATCATATTATACAATAACTGTCATGTTTAACAGATAACACAAAATATCAGATGGTATTATATTATACAATATCTGTCATGTTTAACAGATAACACAAAATATCAGATGGCATTATATTATACAATATCTGTCATGTTTAAGAGATGACGCAAAATATCAGTCGGTGTCATATTATACAATAAATGTCATATTCAACAGATGACAATAACTATGAGTCGTTATGATGTTATAGAATATTTTTTTCATATTTAACTGATAACACTAAATATCAGTCAGTATTATATTAAACAAGAACTGTTATGTTTAAGTGATGACGCAAAATACCAGTCGGTATTAAATTTAACAAGAACTGTCATATTTAACAGATAACACAACATAACAGACGGTATTATATGATACCATAACTGTCATGTTTAACAGATAACACAAAATATCAGTCGGTGTCATATTATACAATAAGTGTCATGTGTGCCAGATGACACAAAATATCAGTCGATATTATATTATACAATAATTATCATATTTAACACATGACACAAAATATCAGTCGGTATGATATTAAAAAAAAACTGTCATATTTAACTGATTACACAAAATATCAGTCGGTATTATATTATACAATAATTGTCATATTTAACAATTGACAAAAACTATCAGTCGGTATTTGTAATGTATACTATTACTATTATACATCGGTGTGGGCGTAAATGAAGTTTCGTGATATATTTCGTTGTGTATACCATTGTCTAAACAGATGACACAACATATTAGTCGGTATCATATTATACAATAACTGTCATGTTTAACAGATAACACAAAATATCAGATGGCATTATATTATACAATAACTGTCATGTTTAACGGATAACACAAAATATCAGATGGTATTATATTATACAATATCTGTCATGTTTAACAGATAACACAAAATATCAGATGGCATTATATTATACAATATCTGTCATGTTTCAGTGATGACGAAAAATATCAGTTGGTGTCATATTATACAATAAATGCCATATTGAACAAATGACAAAAACTATGAGTCGGCATTATGTTATAGAATAATTGTCATGTTCTACTGATAACACAAAATATCAGTCACTATTATATTAAACAAGAACTGGTATGTTTAAGTGATGACGCAAAATATCAGACGGTATTATATTTAAGAATAATTGTCATGTTTGCCAAATGACACAAAATATCAGTTGGTATTCTATAATATAATAATTGTCATGTTTAAGTGACGACACAAAATATCAGTCGGTATTATATTATACAATAACTGTCATGTTTAACAGATAACACAAAACATCAGTCCGAATTATATTACGAAATAACTGTCATGTTTAACAGATAACACAAAATATCAGTCCGAATTATATTATGAAATATATGTCATGTATAACTAATAACACAAAATATCAGTCAGTATTATATTAAACAAGATCTGTCATATTAAAGTGATGACGCAAAATATCAGTCGTTTTTATATTATACAATAACTGTCATGTTTACCAGATGACACAAAATATTAAGACGTATCCTCTTATACAATAACTGTCATGTTATTTGTTAAAATTTCAATGTGTTTTATCCTTTAACCATATAGCACAGAATATCAGTTTGTTTATTCTATTGGGACATAACATTTAATTTTCATCACCAATCCATCTCTTTGTATTGAATATTTTGGCCATTAAACAATTGCAATTACGTTCATTTTTCATTTGCTATGTATATATATGCGTTGTTATAATAGAAACCGGTACCTGGTCATGTAAACACGTCTTTGTATTGATATCTTTGAATTTCGTTTTCATCAAAAGCGTATCATTTTCTTTTTATGCTGCAGTGTTTATTGTATTTGATAGATCAAAAGAATGACAAACATTGGTGCCGTACAAGTGGTGATCATTGGTGCAGAAAAATGTTCTGTTAATTAATATTGATGTTTGCTGGGCGATATTATATTATTGAATTGTCGAGCTTTATTTGCACTTCCTGTGAATGTTTCTGTCTTAAGCCGATAATGTGTTTTTCCAAACATGTACATGATTATCGACATAGTAATCCGTTAATTGGAACAGCCATTTTAATGACGAGCCATCCTCGTGTCCTTATCCAGTTGTAATAGCATTACGCTAGTTACCATTGTTAAATAGGCAATGCCATGAATATGCAAATATCAAATTAAAGAAGTGAAAATTTTGAGCATATGGGACACTTTAGTCAAACGCGAGATATTTAAACACACAGTAAGTCTGAAAACGTTTCTGAGATACATTGTTTACACAACAATGCGTACATTTTTTTTACAAAGAATCAACAAATTACAATCAATTTGCTTTGTATTGGTAAATAGAATGTTTTCAAATTATTCTAATATCACATCCTTAATTAAGAACAAGTGTATTTACACCGTTATCATGCAACACTCGAAATGCATTATAACATTATAAAAAACGACGTCGTTCATCTGTTATTTTGTTTTTGTGAAGTTTTATGGTCGCCATAGTGATCTCATTGAGTAAAAATGTGTGATGCTCGTTCGTTTGCCTGTTGGTTCCGTTGTTATATATCTTGTTCTCATTTGCGAACGTGATATTACTCATTTGGATTGACCAAGGTTTATATGGCAGGTGTAGTCTGTGAAGCAGAAGACGCCTACTCTCCGGAACACGTGGTCTTATCCTCCCTGTAGTTTTATCCGTGTGAATCTTACCTTTGTTCATACTTTGCCCTAGTTTTATGAAATTAGAGTTTAATTGATGATTTTGTTGCCATGTTGGTATTTTTTTAATTTCGTTTTTGTTTTTTTGCTTGAACGTCTTCTAGATATGATAATTGTTTGTGGCGACTTTTACGATAAAGTGATTAATTTATGTTGTGTTGTACAGGAAAACCCAAATCTGGCCCAAGAGGCTATCGGTGGAGTGAATGGCAGTCGTGTACCACAGGGTGTTCCAGTTCCAACATGAGATTCCGTACATGTGAATACCAAAACAACAACGGTGTTTCAAAGTGCACTCCGAATGTTGTTGTTAAAGGTAATTTACCTGATTTCCTTGTCATTTATTTTTTTATCCATCAGTTCTTTAGTAATACTATGTAACAATTTTATCAGTATTTTGTTTTTAAATAGAAAGCGATTTTAAAATGTGTGCAATGAGGGGCTGGAGTTAAGGACCGTCTTATCTGAAAAAATGCATGCTGTACTTCCATACACAGTTCTGATATCATGCAACACGGAAGTATAGAGAGAATATCTGTGCACTGTTCTACAATAGTCTTGTATGGAAAATCTGAAAATAATATTTTGGAGGAAAAGCCGTACGCTAGATCCCCTGTTCGGTATATTACAATATTGTAAGAGTTTAAACAGATTTATTCACATAAAATGCATATAAACAAACAATGAGGGTAACACAGATCCTTGTTACCAAACTACCGCTCACGAAGACCCGGAAGATTGGCCAAATGCTCAGATTTGACACACAAGTTCGTTGGTTAATATATTTCACATCTGTACCGTTTGCTGGTTTGGGTCAAAAGAGGACGAACGTACCCCTCCCAGTAAGAGAGTCACAATCAGGGGCTGTAACTCTGCCCGAAAACCCCCAAAATATACCCAAGAAAATAAAGCGATATTCACTTGTGTGTCTTTAGTACAGTCATTAGCTATGTATGTATATAAACGTATCTCGTGATGTGTATGTTGAGAAGTTTCAAACGTATATAACACTATATTTCTAGTATTTCATAAAATGTTATTTCAATATCCTATTTTTATCAATTTTAATTCATTTATAGAGATCGACCCTGATGCCCCTGCTCCTGCCCCTGCTCCTGCCCCAGCAGTAGATCCCACTACCACAACAGAAAGTGCACCAGCTGTCCATACCACTACCACAACAGAAAGTGTACCAGCTGTCCATACCACTACCACAACAGAAAGTGTACCAGCTGTCCATACCACTACCACAACAGAAAGTGTACCAGCTGTCCATACCACTACCACAACAGAAAGTGTACCAGCTGTCCATACCACTACCACAACAGAAAGTGTACCAGCTGTGCATACCACTACCGCAACAGAAAGTGTATCAGCTGTTCATACCACTACCACAACAGAAAGTGTACCAGCTGTGCATACCACTACCACAACAGAAAGTGTACCAGCTGTCCATACCACTACCACAACAGAAAGTGTACCAGCTGTCCATACCACTACCACAACAGAAAGTGTACCAGCTGTCCATACCACTACCACAACAGAAAGTGTACCAGCTGTCCATACCACTACCATAACAGAAAGTGTACCAGCTGTGCATACCACTACCACAACAGAAAATGTTTCAGGTGTCCATACCGATACCAACATTTTCCCGACAGCTCAAAGCAGATATACAACGTATAGTTCCATCCCCACAGCAGGCGATACAAGTTGTATATGTGAATGCAATGGTACCACCAAGTGGTCGGTCGGTGGTCTGAACCTGACGAATGATGAAGCTAAACAGCTAATTGCTGAACTACAACAGAAGTTGGCCGTGAACGTCTCCACGTTGTCGTCCACGATTCGGAAGAAAATCAGTGCATCAGACAGTCGTACGTCCTCAGCCGCCATGGGTTATACCGCAGCGATAGTGTTGGCGTCGGTAGTGATCCTTATTGTCGGCAGTGACGTCATCGTCCTTTTTGCTAGATTAAGAAAATAGTAATTATATTGTTTCGTCATTTAGATGCAGTCCTCGTAATATTAACAACCAAAGTGTGATCTCACTAAAGTCATATTATTATGTTATTGATTGACGATGGTGATAGTGATGATTGCGTGATGATAACATAATTATCATGGTGTTTTGATATGATGATGTTGATAACGATGAAGATTCATATGTGTGAAAGTTGGTATGTGTATATTTTCTCATTATTTTTTTGTATAATGCAAAATTTTGAAAAATATCCCAAAGGCTTGGAGCAAAGATGATGAATTTATCGCTGGTGTTATGGGAGAGTAATGATATTTCTATAATTGTTTTTTTCACGGCGTCTATTATTTCAGCAAATTTTATTCCATCAGTGAAAATAACGAAAAATAGAAACCTTCAAGCTTAACAAGTTTTACAGCAGTTCCACGTGAAAGTACATCGAAATGTGAAAACCAATTCAAAGAATTACATGCATAGGGAGTACACCATCTTCTACCAGAAGTAAAAATCGATTTGGTTTTCAAATATTCGTTTTAATGGCGTCTTGAAAAAGATAGTACATAGCATTGTCTTTGGATTTATATCTATGAGAAGTGAAGCATTCTGGCGGTCTAAACCGTGTCATTGTTGATATCATCACTTATATGGACAATACATTTGTGACAGCCAGAGTAAGTTTGAGGCGGGTTCTCCTTGTAATAACTGGTGGCTACATCACCGAACAGCATATGGGGGGCTCGTCACAGGCCGTAGAGAGCAAGTGTCACGTGATCAGGGAGTGGTCAATTTCTAAGCTTCGAACATCCATCAAACCGTCACAATACGGAAGGTTGAAGCCATCACGTCATCAGGGAGTGGGTCATTTCACAGCTTCGGACATTTACCAAACCGTCACGATACGGAAGGTTGAAGCAATCGCTTACGATCGTCATCAGAGCTGTTGCGGTCAATTTGTGGTCGAGGAAACAAGCAACATTGAAAGTTTAATTCAGTAATGCATTAGTTGAAACCATCATTTACAATCCATGTATTACATACAGAACACTTTCTGTACAATACAGATATGCAAATTGCACTAACTGTAAGCCAGAGATCCACTTGTCCATGCCCGCAAATATGTATTGTATACATACACGTGCAATTGTTTACGATATGGAAAATATTGGGGAAGAGGATCCTCGTTTTTCATCCTCATGCTGTTTTTTTCTCTGGATTTGAAATTTCTTGTTCATGACATACATCCATGTGAGATGTCTTCAGTTTTGCCCGGGAGGATTACCAGTGTAAGATAACCAATGTAAGATAACCAGTGTCACATAACCAGTGTAAGATAAACAGTGTCAGACAACCAGTGTCAGATAACCAGTGTTATATAACCAGAGTCAGATAACCAGTCAGATAACCAGTGTAAGATAACCAGTGTAAGATAACCAGAGTCAGATAACCAGTCAGATAACCAGTGTAAGATAACCAGTGTAAGATAACCAGAGTCAGATAACCAGTGTAAGATAAACAGTGTCAGATAACCAGTGTAAGATAACCAGTGTCAGATAACCAGTGTAAGATAACCAGTGTCAGATAACCAGCGTCAGATAACCAGAGTCAGATAACCAGTGTAAGATAACCAGAGTCAGATAACCAGTGTCAGATAACCAGTGTCAGATAACCAGTGTAAGATAACCAGTGTAAGATAACCAGTGTAAGATAAACAGTGTCAGATAACCAGTGTAAGATAACCAGTGTCAAATAACCTGTGCAAGATAACCAGAGTCAGATAACCAGTGTAAGATAACCAGAGTCAGATAACCAGTGTCAGATAACCAGAGTCAGATAACCAGTGTAAGATAACCAGTGTAAGATAACCAGTGTAAGATAACCTGTGCAAGATAACCAGCGTCAGATAACCAGTGTCAGATAAACAGTGTAAGATAACCAGTGTCAGATAACCAGTGTCAGACAACCAGTGTCAGATAACCAGTGTTATATAACCAGTGTCAGATAACCAGTGTAAGATAACCAGTGTAAGATAACCAGTCAGATAACCAGTGTAAGATAACCAGTGTCAGATAACCAGTGTTATATAACCAGTGTCAGATAACCAGTGTAAGATAACCAGTGTAAGATAACCAGTGTCAGATAACCAGTGTCAGACAACCAGTGTCAGATAACCAGTGTTATATAACCAGTGTCAGACAACCAGTGTCAGATAACCAGTGTTATATAACCAGTGTCAGATAACCAGTGTAAGATAACCAGTGTAAGATAACCAGTCAGATAACCAGTGTAAGATAACCAGTGTAAGATAACCAGTGTCAGATAACCAGTGTAAGATAACCAGTGTCAGATAACCAGTGTCAGACAACCAGTGTCAGATAACCAGTGTTATATAACCAGTGTCAGATAACCAGTGTAAGATAACCAGTGTAAGATAACCAGTGTCAGATAACCAGTGTAAGATAACCAGTGTAAGATAACCAGTGTCAGATAACCAGAGTCAGATAACCAGTGTAAGATAACCAGTGTAAGATAACCAGTGTAAGATAACCAGTGTAAGATAACCAGTGTAAGATAACCAGTGTCAGATAACCAGTGTCAGATAACCTGTGTAAGATAACCAGTGTCAGATAACCAGTCAGATAACCAGTGTCAGATAACCAGTGTCAGACAACCAGTGTCAGATAACCAGTCAGATAACCAGTGTCAGATAACCAGTCAGATAACCAGTGTCAGATAACCAGTGTCAGATAACCAGTGTCAGATAAACAGTGTAAGATAACCAGTGTCAGATAACCAGTGTCAGATAACCAGTGTCAGATAACCAGTGTCAGATAACCAGTGTCAGATAACCAGTGTCAGATAACCAGTGTAAGATAACCAGTATCAGATAACCAGTGTCAGATTACCAGTGTAAGCTAACTAACCAGTGTCAGATAAACAGTGTAAGATAACCAGTGTCAGATAACCAGTGTCAGATAACCAGTGTCAGATAACCAGTGTCAGATAACCAGTATCAGATAACCAGTGTCAGATAACCAGTGTCAGATAACCAGTGTCAGATAACCAGTGTCAGATAACCAGTGTCAGATAAACAGTGTAAGATAACCAGTGTCAGATAACCAGTGTCAGATAACCAGTGTAAGATAACCAGAGTCAGATAACCAGTGTAAGATAACCTGTGTAAGATAACCAGTGTAAGATAACCAGTATCAGATAACCAGTGTCAGATTACCAGTGTAAGCTAACTAACCAGTGTCAGATAAACAGTGTAAGATAACCAGTGTCAGATAAGCAGAGTCAGATAAACAGTGTCAGATAAACAGTGTTATATAACCAGTGTAAGATAACCAGTCAGATAACCAGTGTCAGATAACCAGTCAGATAACCAGTGTAAGATAACCAGTGTAAGATAACCAGTGTCAGATAACCAGTGTCAGATAACCAGTGTTATATAACCAGTGTAAGATAACTGGATGGACTGGCACACGGAGCTATGACAATTATAGCTACCACATCATATTCCATGGAGTCAAACGTTTGCAGGTTTCCCCGTCCTTAGTGAGGGTATACATTGAAATATAAAGGCAGATAGAACAAACTTAATGAAGAAACCTGAGAAAATTTGACTTCCCAGTATAATGACAATTTTTATTATATTTTCTTACACATCACATTAAAAGACACTTGTTTTTGGATATATATATATATTTAATGTTTTATTTGCACATGTGTTCGTAAAAGGAAATGTACAATGTATATTTCAAATATTGTCATATTGTAAATGAGATACGATATCATGGCATTGACAGCCAATTTTGTTTATAGAATAAATCTTTGAATTTTGGAACTGAAAATTCGTTGTAGTTAACATGATTGAGAAATGCGACATTGCACAATAAAGTGTATGTTGTTGAATGTATACGCATCCCGATTCACCCTCTCTGGGATTCACCAAATATTGTCCTTAAATGAAACTTCGACGCTCTCTTTTCTCTACGTCTGGATGTGTTTACAGCTATGATTATCAATTTACATGAAGCATACTAGAGGTTCACAGATAATATGGTTATGGTCATACTGGTTCGTAATCATTTTAAAAGTCATACATTTTGAATCGCAAATTTTGTACATCTTACCAAATTCAGGTACATAAATGTATTTTGTTCCGTCCATGAAATAGTATTTACTATACAGGAACCAAAAGTTACCTTTAAATGGTAAGATTACTATTGAGCGTGATTATGAAGAATTTATTTTTAAAACTAGACATGCTAGCTCCGTAATAATTTGTGAATATGTTTAATTGACGAAAATGTCCACTTGATCATTTGAAGCATTCCTTTTTAACACATTACATGGGTGGTTAAAGAGTGTAATAGTGGTTGCTTTGGAAAACCTCCATGTATATAATATCGTTTTTAAGGCTAATACACTTTATATCTTGACAAGAGAATACATCCGTAACTTCCACCGAGAAGCTTTTATTTCAAGGTGTGACAATGCTACCTGCTTTTGTTTAGCCCATGAAGTGTGTACTTACCTGCAGGATACGTTTAATGTTCATTGTTTATTCAACTTGAAGCCTTACGGCTCATAAACACTCGTAACAACATATGATTAATACATAAGTAGTATGAACGACAAAAGTCTTATCTAAACAATATGTATAAAGCATGATATTGTATATCGTATTCAGTTTATATACAACAAGAACGCACAAGAACAGTTAAATGTTTATTACACTAAAGAAAATAGACAAGCTACGGTTTGGCGTAACAGGGGCTACTCACTCTATTCATAATCACTATTAACTACTAGAAAATTATAACTTAAAACAAGACTCTGAGCTGTTTCGGAGCTAGATTAAGAGTCCCTACAGAGAAGTTACTAGACCCTGGACGATACCAGAGAAGCTACTAGACTCTGCAAGTGGCCCTAGAAAAACAGCATTATAAATAGAATATTCACCACCAGCTAGACCCTCAACGATATGAGAGAAGCTGAAAATG